GCAATCGTGAGGTCAGATTTTTGAGAACGTAACCGCGAGTGCGGCGATCTTGAAAGTACAGGAAAGATCGGCGCTGGCGATCGAACTGCAGGTCTATTCCTGGACCGCGCGTCGCCCCCCCCCGCGCCCCCCGCGCTATTCTGGGCACGATAGCGCTGCAGCTGCAGCCGCAGCTCTCAGGTCCTTATGAATGAAACAAAGTAAACAGAGATCGATGTTGGAAACATTTTTTTGTTGCGGTCAAGAAAAGTAATGAATTCAACAATACACCAATTTTGGTTATGTTTATATCTTCGACTGTCGAGACTTGTATTACTTTACTTGAACTGTGATTATTGCTTGAATCGATAGAAATGTTACCTTGTATTTGAGAGGTAAAAGAAAACACACACACACACACATATGACTTACATAACACACCGAAAAATGCAACTACACAACACAGCAACACAACACACCACACCAACAAAACACAGCAACACAACACACCAACACATAAAAAATTCAGGAACTATACAGGCGCGGTTGGGACTACAAGCCCGCCAGCTACTTCCTGGAATGCGTGGGTGGCGGGAATCTGGGAACCGCGGCCGTTCCCAGTCTGTGAATGAGTTGGCCGAGCGCCAAGACTGCGGTCGCTACGCAGGGCGCCTTGTACTTCGTTTTGCTGTGGGGAGCTTAAAACTCCTGGGCCTATACTTTAAAAAAAAGTTAAGAGGTTGTAAGTTCATCAGCCAATCATTGACGGCCTTTCAAGCAAAATCCACCAATCATAGACAAGAGAATAGCGCGTAAGTACTTACGTTCACTTAGCGAATTTTAAAAGTATAGATCCTGGAGTCTAAACTTATTAAAAGTAAAGCTTCTATCGCGCGCGAGCTTTACGGTGTCAAACACTCGCGGTTAAATCAGTACAATAAATTGATTTAGATTTTTGATAGAACTTCACACAACACTGCGGGTGTGATACTTTGTGAAGTAGTGAGAGAAAAGGTTTGAAATCTTTATTATTTCAAATTTAAGTCTAAGAGAAGTTAGTGTGTTCTCCGAAGTTTCATGGATTCAACATTGTTGCATACTCTACAAACTCTAGGCTGCTATTATTCAGTTAAATCATCAGGGAATTTAAATAAATATTCTCCAAATCTGTTTATGAACTTCCTATAGTACAAAGAAAGGCTTCATGAATTGAAGCAAAGGTTAATGTGTGACTCATGATGAATAAATTGTCTGGTAAGTTAATATATTTTTCAGCCACTAATAAAATTTTGAGCTTATTTACATGATGGGATTAAATTTTAAGGACAGAATCTTCATGTTGGTCGTGAGTGAATGATCTTCATTCATCAAGAGAACTGCCTTCTCGCTTGCACGCGACGGTTGAATATCGAGTCACATTTCAGCGTCGTCCTCGGTACGAATGCGCGTTTTTCGTCTTGGTCGTACTTGGTGCTCAGTTCTGCCAAGCTGTTACATTGGTACTTGGTCGTACTTGGTGTTAAGTTCTGCCAAGCTGTTACTTTGGTACTTGGTCGTACTTGGTGTTAAGTTCTGCCAAGCTGTTACTTTGGCACTTGACCGTTGACAGAACTTTTGACGCTTCTTCTTTTAGTTGAACTTTAGTTTAGTTTTAGCAGCCTCTTTAAAAATTTTATTTGTAAATTTCTCCTACCTTCATGTCTGCAAATGTTTAAGTAAAAATGTGTTGTGTTTATAACTAAATGCAGCCCATTCATTATTAAAGTGATGAATTCCGGTTTACACAGCATCACTAGATTTTTACCAATAGGGCAACGTGGGGCAGCGAGCCCCCCACTTTTTTTAAACTAAATTTTTGATGAAGTTTTAATTGATACGAGGTGGTTCTTTGTTTTATTTTTAAATTCATGTTCTATTAGATAATTTCTTGATTTTACGCACAAGGATAAATAGGAAAGTCAGCAAAGTATTAATTTCTTTATTCGGTGTTATTGTTCGTAACATAGAAGTATTTTCATTATACACATCTGGTAACAAGCCAAATAGAGCATACAACAATAAATCTGCGGCCAAATTCCGCCCTCGTCATTCATAAGCCATTATAAATTTTATCAAAAGTTTTTTTCAAATCTTAAATCTGATTTCATAAGATTATTGCACATTCCCGTTTCCCCAAACGAATATTTTCGCACACGCGTTGCACTCCGGCATGTCATATGTGGTAATACTAACATCAAGACGTCGATAATGACTTATTACTTTCATTAATACGAGTTGCGTTTATTGGATGAAAGAAATATAAGAATTTTACAGCTAGTTCACATAAACTTATATTGCAGGAGAAACGTAAACTTTTTTACATTTCAATAACACTATTTTCCATCCATGTAATGAAGACGCTGACACGTCACTGAAATTTATTATTCTCCGGATTGAGATTATTCGACGATTAATTATTAAAGTCGTAATTGTAGAAAACGAATGTTAAGAGTCTGGGTTAAAATTGTTCAAAGTAAGAATACTGAGATTTAAGAGCTAAACGCGCGTACGAAGAAAGAATAATTTACAGCTACCAATAAGAAGGAAGACTCTGATAATTAAATGCATTCGCACCAATTTAGAAATTTCCTCGTGAAATTGATTCAAAATATTGTTCCAATAAATTCACTGATGATTTGCGAGAAGATAAATGCTGCAAGTGATGCCCGGTTCTTAAAAGTTTTTTATCCTGATCCAAAAATACAGTTGTTACTGGAAAAAGTATAGTTCGTATAGACACGTAATGGGTATGCTGTTGAATATTCGGCGAAATCACTCTTGTCGTACAGCTACATTGGTAAAACGCAACTGCCTCTTACGTAAGTAAATTCTCATAGGGCCGCGCTCTTTTCAGTAAAAGCTCGTGGAAATTGTATAAATGCGCGGCACTTCATAGAAAATGTTATATTTAACAATGCTACGGCAATATACCATTTCTGAACTCGTTTTCAGTTACAATGATAACGGAGGCACTTCTTTACCGCATTCTCCACTACCTTTGGCGCTCTACCTTTGGCCGAAGCTCTAACGATGGGCTGATATATAGAACAGCCGCGAGCTGCGAGTAGACTGTGGCTATCATTGCACAGAATTTCCTCTTAAATTTCAGTAACATTCATTAACATGGAGGATAAGCACAAGATTAAACAGAATAAAACTGTTCAATCAAATTATTGATTACAAAGTAGACAAAAGTTTGAATTTTACTTGTTGTTTATCAAATAAATAATTACCTTCATAATTTTTGCAAGTTATTTTCTGCCTAATTTGATTTATGTTACGCAGAAACTTATATTGGCTCGCACACGAGCAATTATCGTATGCTGGTAATATCATACAACATATCGACAAGAATTACTGCTCTTTGTACCGTATATAAACAATCTTCGAGGAGAGAATCATCTTCACGTAAAGCACTCTCACAATATGACTCCAGAAATAATCGTGCTGCAACTCCATCGCTATTCTTCACTCTCATAAATCAAACTCAATTTAACGAATTTTCGCCACGCTGCTCTGCCTGAACAGTTCGTTATAACAGCAGGCGCTTCAGGATGCATGCAATCCTCATCGTGAAGTGTCAGCTGAGCGAACATTGTTACCACAAAACACAGTACAAATTCAACAATGTTTTTCCAATTAATATGTAACGATAAATTAATCTATCAATAATTGGTGTAAAGAACCGTACAATAAAATTGCAACGAAGAGTTTTCAAGACTGGATTTTAGCCATGGGAAATGTAGGAGCGAATTTTGCTGCCATTGAGAACATTTCGCATGCAGCGCAGGTCGGAGCATGTCACGTGAGATTCTAACCAGTAGGTGTTCGTTAAACGTATAATAAACTTGAAATACAACAACAATTTGTCACGAATAACAACATCCATAGTAAGTTCTGTGCGCAGGATGACAGATAAATAAGAACAATTAGGCGAGTTGGTATGTGAGCTACCAGGCAAGTCTTTGGAACTGTCGAGGCGTCGTGAAAGATTTGGTTAATCGCAATTCCGTTCTCAGCCGAAACTTGTCAATCACAGAAACGCTGAATCTTCAATTAATGTGGCTGTAACCATAAGCGTGGGAGTTTGTTAGAATGCAGAGACTTTTACATGAGTTACCCATCAATATATCAACCTAGAACAGCACAAAATTATTATCATAATTAATTTAAGTTGATATTTGAATGTCGAAATTCTTATTTGTTTGTTTTACACAAACAGTCACGAATTTAAACTGATCTTTGATGAAAATGTATGAATGAAATTTTCAAATAAGAGACATAACTTGACTTGTAACCATAGTGCAGAAATTGAAAGATAAACTGAGCTCTCAAGTTATATGCCAGCTCAGCTAAAAAATATCGCTCACTTGACATCAAGTATCTAATTAAGAGTTTAAAAATTTGCGCATCATTTAATTGTCTCGGTGCGAACGAGCTGTAGTTTTCATACATCCTAACTAAATTACTAGACTGAGAAAAAATGTTTGAAATAACTCTGATATATACTCGAAGTTACCGTTTCATTGAAATTTTACCCAGCATTTCTGCTCCTTAGCATACGAATGTAGTATTTCCAAGCTAAATTTGATATAATTTGTTTTAGAATCATTTGTTCACAAGTAAAAGAGCGGCTAAACATCGTGATAAATCACTCAACAGCAGGTCAATGCGCGGCTCCTGAGCTGTGAGAAATACCGCCAGGAGCAGGACTTTGGAGTGATTATTTGACAGGAATTTTACTAAGTTCGTTACTCGCGATAGTCAGAACTGCTTTACTAATAACTCTTGTCTAATTATACACATTTCAGTGAGATCTAGCGGCGTCTGGTAAAGACACGTCGAAGGCGGTCGATTCTAAGGAATTTGTACGTTCATTCAATAAAATATGTCCGCTTGAAATGAAATCTTATACAAAAATTATTTCTTAGCTCTAGCAAGAAAATAATAAAGTTTAATTTCCATTAGATAAATAATTTACATTCTTTTTCATAATAATACTTCTGACAATAATTTAAACCAATCTCACGGAAATAAATTCTAATTTTATTCATTGAAAACATATCATAGTTCGACTACGTGAATTAGAAAATTTATATCCAGCTCAGCTGAGTTCTTACCCTTACTATGAAAATCAGTACTTCAATCTCAACAACCTTTAGTTCATTCTTTCATAAAGAACTCCTTACTTATTCACACTAATCATAAAATATTTAACTTAAAACAGTTCTATGTGAGGCAGACTTGCAAATTAATCCAAGTTGAGCGCAAACTTCAATCACGCATCGTGCCTGAACTCGACATCATAAGTTTCATAACTACAACTACAACATACCTCATTACATTACGGACAGAACCGACACCAGAAAACACTTAACTTTGTTAAGGGGAGAGCAATGCAATATTGGCCTCTCCCTACAATAGTTGATTACATACGCCAAGACCTTTGAATTTGTACCATGAAAATATGAGAGAAACTCCGAAAACACTACTCACAACTACAATGCGATAGGATCCATTTGTTACTAATGTTCTCTCATGTAAAATTATACAAACTAAACAACGTTGAACGGTAAACAATTTTACGTGTGGATCAACAGAGAGAGCAAGCACAGACAGCATTGTGGTCTGACATTGAGAATCTGTTAGAAGATTCTTATATATAGTTGCGCGTCCAGTAAAGTAACTGCCACACGTAGCGTACAGTATTACTTGAAGCCTTACACATAAAGATTAAAGCACAGCCATATAAAGAGTTGTTCACTCAACATCACACGAACATGACAATAAGTCAGTGGAACACAGAAGTAAAACAACGAAGAAATTATTGTGTCACCATGGATATGCCACTCTTCCTAAAGAGCGCAGGCTCAAGTTTCACCATGAAAACAGGCTTTACATTTAATTACAAGATTGCAAGCCAATGATGCACTTCACGGCTGCATCCTATACAGTCACGCCCAAACAGTGACTATACAAGACGAGATCAGGTCATGTAATGCCGGCAACAGCAATAGATTGGCCTTAACATTCAACACCAAAAAGAACTTAAGAAGATGACCTACCACTGAGCAATGAATAGCATCATTTGGGCTAATCTGTAAAAAGCATTAAAGAAATGCATCATTGGTTTGGGCAGTTTATAAAAATAAATTGCTCGCAAAGTATTGGTAACTGTTGTATCAGAGCATCGATACCAGCAATGTTAGAGCATTAGACGAAGTTAAGAGAAAGTTAGTCAGGACGAGAAGCTGCTCACGATGCGTACGTGACTCCACTTATCACCAACAAATTTTCTGTACAAGCATCGCTCAAAATAGTATATGTTACAACTGTCTTAAATTATGGCAAACTCCTGATGGCACATAATCGAAGTGAGGCTTGGTTTCTGAAGTGATGGCTTCAGCATTCAGCCTGAACTGTCAGCAGCGTCGCCTTCAAGCTGGCTAGGCAGTGTCGCTTCCATGCTAGCGTTGCCTGAAGTAGGAGGAACCCCCTCCGCAACGCCGGAACTCGGTCCTGGCGTGCTGCCTGAACTGCTGCTAGCTCTTTTCAACTTTTGCTTCAAGTGAACTTTAGCGTGTCTCTTCTTCTCGTCAGATCGAGCAAACTTTCGACAACAAACGTCGCAAGAGAATGGCTTTTCCCCTGTGTGTGTTCGGATGTGTGTTGTTAAATGATCAGATCTTGAGAATGATCTCATGCAAATGCGACATTGGAAAGGCTTTTGTCCGGTGTGAATTCGAATGTGACGTGTGAGTTCGTCAGATCTGGAAAATCGTCTATCGCAAGTATCAACAGGACACGCGTACGGTCTCTCATGAACAGGAGTTTTACTTGGTCGGTTGGGATATTTTCGCGCTTTTACAGGTAATAACTTGAGGGGTACCGGACTTTGCTGGTAGACCTGCGATAGAATTTCATGACCTTTACTGGTTGATTGGTTGTACTCGGCTAAATTAGCTGCGGAATCAGTGTAAATATTGGGCTCTAATTTGGGAACAACTGACGAACTTCCTGAAGGACCAGCAACAGGCTCGACCATGGGACCGCTGGTGGCTGTGACGCCGTACGTAACTTGAGCAGAGAATCCACTTCGCCCTACGCCCACTTCGTACTGGAATTTTGCCGCCACTTGTTGAGTGCCGCCTATCCGACCGAAGTCTTCAGATATCAAACCAATCTGGTTTAATTGTTCATGTGGAATGACATGTTCTTGAGATTGCGATTGAGGAATGTGGAGCTGCTCCTGAGCTTGTTGGAGCTGAGAAGGGTGTACAGACAGCGATTGTTGTGAATGCTGTTGTGGCTGATGTTGAGATAGTTGTTGCTGAGTTTGCGGGATGAGAATATTTGGAAGAAGAGATGCAGTTGTCATTGACGAGGAAGAAGATGCTACATTAGTTTGTGTTGATGAGGAATAAGTTGGTGGCTGTTTCAAAGTTAAAATTGGTGACTGTGAAGTTTCAAATGGAACTAATAAATCATTAGGATTTATGGAAATGGCTGGCAGCCTGTCATCAAATGCCCCTGAAGAGAATGGGGGGATGTGTTCTGGTAATAGAGGCGAGCTACTAGGTTGGGTGATGGGAGGGGTTTGAAGGAGGCCTAAGAATGGGGTTAAAGACCCACTCTTATCGGTGGATGAGGTAGGGAAGAGCCACGCACTAAGAGTCGTGGGTGAAGGTGTCGTCACCTGGGGAATTGAAACATTGGGTGAAGTTGCCGTAAAACTTCCTCTGTACTGCAACTTCTCAGTGGAAATCTGTTGAATTTGAACCTGATGCTGTTGTTGGACCTGAGATGACTGCGGCCCTGTTTGCACAATTTGAATTTGATGTTGGTGTAGTTGTTGCTGATGCAACTGTTGCTGCTGATGTTCTTGCTGCTGCAATTGTAAAACATGATGTTGCTGAATTTGTTGTTGTTGCTGAGGAACGTGTGACAGCAAAAGTTGACTGGCATCTTGTAGTTGTTGCGGCTGCCGCTGCTGCTGGAGTTGTGGGTGTTGGTGTTGAGAAAGGTGTTGTTGTTGTTGTTGTTGATGGTGCTGAAGCTGGTGTTGTTGTTGCTGTTGTTGCTGCTGCTGCTGTTGCTGCTGTTGTTGTTGTTGCTGCTGCTGCTGTTGATGGTGAGGGTACATGACTTGGACCGAGCTGTCAAGAGAAGTTTCGTGTCCTGGCGAGAGAGACACAAGTTGCTCAGGACTCAAGTAAGGCGTGTGCTGGTCGGGCGACCCGCGCTCAGGTGACAAGTGAGCAGGGGATGACGCGTACGGGGACGATACGTGAGAGGCGTTGCAGGGCGAGAGGATGGGCGAGGCAGGGGCGTCGAGCAGCTCTAGCTTGACGACGTCGTCGTCGTGGTGGTCGGTGATGTCGATGAAAGTAGCGTCGCTGCTGACGCTCTTGTCGAGGCGGTCGTTGGCGCCGAACGAGGAGTGAGAGTCGAGGCTGGCCGGAGAGTCGCAGATTCTGTCGAAGCTGAAGTTGTTGAAGTTGATGAGCGGTTTCGATGGTAGCGGTGAAGAGGCGGACACGCGGAGCTCGTCTGCGTCGGGGGTCGCTGCAGAGAAATAAAACACGTTCGTTAGTCGAGTTATTATTTTTATATATTATTATTTCTAAAACTAGCCACCATTAATAAGTAATGAGTAGATTTTGTAATGAGTGTGAAAACTAAGGTGAATGGCAAATAGATTGGATTTATGAACACGGTAATTAATAGAAAGTCCAAATAATATAAGGAAAGAGGTCTAAAATTCATTGGTTTTTCTGATAGGTCCCAAATTTGTGCTTTTGGTAGGAGTCCCCCGAATTTCGAACTGATATACATTTTTAATGACAACCCGAATCAAATGTAGTTTTTCGTTGACGCATTGAGTCAAATGCTTGATCCACGAGCGCCTCTAATCTATGGAGAGCTATAAAATATGGCTGAAATTGAAATAAATTTCAGTGTCACCGAGAACGCAATGCGCTAAAATAAATATCATCAGCTAGATAGACAGGAAAGAAGCGTGATGCAGCAACAGGAACAACAGAGCTGACGAGATGCATGGTAGAAACATTAGCGCCAGCCGTGTGATTGCTGTAGCAGTCGGGCATACGATTGCGCAGCAGCAGCACTGTACGTTGCCGGAGTGACATTCCTTATAAACAAGAAGTTATAACGCACATTTTAGGGAACTGTTGCTTTGCAATCAATAAATTTATGTTCAAATTGGATCAATTAATACTGAATTATATCCCAAATGATTATTCTGAACGAATACACTCTAATTTCGGTGCATTGCTGCCTTTTACGCTTTATAACTGAGTAAATAGCTCTGTACTGAAATAATAACAAAGTATTTTTATTCTCACTTCTCTAATTGATTTTATATTTGCCATACACGACAACTTCATTTTCTATTCAATTTGTGGCTGCGGAAAGGATCACGAAATTGATTTACTTTGACCGAAACCCCGACGATCGGGACATATTCATGTACATTCTACCAGGTCTCAACTCGAGGTGGTAAGTGATGACTTTTCCGTCAGTAAGGGATGAATATAAACTAGTTATAAATAAACAGAATGTATGCAGTTTTACCTAACTTTTGAAGCCTATTTGAGAGAATATTTGTGCCAACGAGTCATAAGCGTGTGCAAGACAAACGTCACGAGTAGCAACAGCTCTTTTTGGCTCTCCAACACAAGCTCCACCCAGCGTAGAGCGCTCAGGCTCCGCCCCTCCCATGTACATTGCAGGCAACCGTATACCCTCATGGATGACGTAGAGCTGCTCTCTACGTCACACATGATATCAGAGAACAAGTAAAGGCCATGCCTTCCGGAGCAAGCGCGCCAACCTCGCAGTGCAGTCCGATATAATTTTAACGGTCGTTTTTTTAGAAGCACGTTACAAATGACGCTTGTTGCCAAGCACTGAAACTGCTTGTATAACATTGCCAAGGAAAAAGCAGAACTATTACGACAGTAGTTTGGTAAGCAAGAAAGTAAAACAATTTGGCGCCAAAGGCGAGTTCTTATTATTATTCAAGTTCTTATTATTATTTCTTTAAAACGACACAATATGCTAGCTTATAGTTATCTTTCTCTTGAATTCTCATGCTCTATATCCTTAAATTTAAGTATGATTTATAAATAGTTTGCTAATGATCACCAGACTGACGTTGGCTCTAGAGCTCGCCAAAACTGGGTCCAAAATGTCGCCAAGAAGGGACTCACGAGCTGCTGGGTCATCGAGCGTTTTTATTTACAGTGTATGGCGCATCTTGCTTTTAATAGCGCAGTAAAACACGATCAAGTCGCGTGAGAAAATATGCTTGCCAAATGACGTTCACATGACATCATTGCGCGGCCACTCATCGCCTGACTCATTTGTTTGGGTTATTAAGGCGATATGCTTCGTTTAGGGATATTTTAAGGGTACGTGAAGCGAGGTGCGACTGACCTCATTTAGAGAAATTTGTGAAACAAACAATTCGTAAACTAAATTAATTTACAGTTAAAATTATTCGGTAACTGTGATATTGCAAACTATGTATTATAACTGGTATATATACCTAATAAAGCAGCTAACGATAACTTTGAGCAAACGGCTGGTCGATCTCACAATTAATAACTCAGTTAGAAGAACAATTAATTAAAACCAAGCTATATAGCCAATTAGTCTTAAGATATTATTGTAACGTTATCCCTAAGTTGTTATTTGGGGTTTATTTGAATATTTTAAGGAAATGTTTGGCAGTACTGAGCCTTGCCTCATCACACAACACAGGATGTAACGACAAAATCGATCATCAATAAAATGAAAGATTAGTACGATCTTACCAACTTGCCTTAACAGTAGAAAAAACAGAGAAAATATTTTTTATTAAAGAGTGGAAATCGCAAGTCGCTTAAAGCAGGAATGCATATTAAAAAATTCTTTTGTTTATGGTTATATGAATAGTTCAGACGAACGATGTCAGGTCGTCAATTGACGTGGTAAGGGATATTCTATTTAAGATGGATAAAATTTGTTTGTAATAAAAAATGTAATAATTATTATTAAAATTATATTTAAAGATGTATTTATATGCCTCACCATATTTATTACCGGCAAGCTGAGATGTGGTCACTATACTTTCGTTGTAATGCATTCAGCAATACATTCTCGGGAATAAAATGTATCCCATTATAATTGAGCCTTCCTCTCGTGGCTGTTGCCTCTGGCCAAGTCACAGACTGTGAGGTCGATGAAGTCACAAAGTAACTGTGTTCCTCTTGGTAATCTTTGGCATTGTTTGGCGGCCGCATTTAGCGCCTGTGTCATAACCAACAAGTCGCTAGGCTTGCCAACAGGTGAGAAAATCGCGGGCTTCCCGCCAAGCTGCAGCGCCTAACTAAAGCTCTTCCCCTTATATAGCGGGAATATGCGGCTCACAACTTGGGAAATAGTCTCGCTCTAGAGTTTTTATGATTGACCCCAAACATAACCGCAGCTTTGTCACACCTGTAAGACGTAATCAATTTATTTTCATGACATTGATTTTGTATAAGAAGTTTGATTGGGGCACGTGACAAAAATGATAATAATAAAACTTTATTATTATCTCAGTTGAAATGTAGTTGACATGCAAGTATTAGATTTGAACACTCAAATGTTAGTTAGTCTTTTGTCAAATTTGTTAGTAGAAATTATAAATATTGATAAGGAGATGCAATGCAGTTAAGTTTAATATAATTAGTAGAGTAAATGAATTAAACGAAAGAAAACAAGTATATACAATAACTCAATACCATATAAGGATTTAAATTCACAACGCCTGGCTTGCTGTGCTCACGCAGGGAAGGACGACGTCATCAGCGGCCCTAGCTCTTCATGACCTCTGCTTCCTAAAGTAGCACATCTCATACAAGCTCTTCTCCTGCAGGCTAAGGCTCATGTGTTCGCCATCTAAGCGCTTGGCATTGCCAACTTGAAGTGTTTTTTTTTTTTTCTGGCAGAAGATGCAATGTTATTCTCTCACGAGACTCTCCGCCAGAGTTCGAGAGGAAAATCGTCATCGATGAAATCATGCTGCGATGGCCCCAACTTGGCATTCGTCTAAGCATTCCTGCATAAAGAGTGGCGAGGCTTCACCCTCATATACCCTTTATTCTTGCACGACGTCACTCTCAGCAACAAGCTCGACTCATGAGAGTCTCGCTGCAGTGACCAAACCTGCCTCAGATGCTGAGGTCTTATATGGATAAGTGCGGCAAGATTCAAGCCCCAGCTGTTCGCCACGCATTGCCCAGGATGGAGTTTAGTGCGACTATGTCATGCATGACGTATATCATGGCGCTACGACGAGGCAAACTGCACGTCATGTGTGACGTATGGAACGGCGTAGACTTGTTACGCCCTCGCGCGTAGGCGGACTAGTTCACTCAGCGATCTCGTTCTATTTTTTTCCACTACCGAGCTTGTCTGGTAGCCTCGAATTAGCATCAGTAATACAGTAAAAACTGACGCCCTTAAGCTTACATCTCCCTGGGTCTCGTAAACCAGATCGCGGACTGAGACCGCGCGTTGTCTTAAGAGGAAAGTGGAGGTTAATCCACGGCTTAAAAGGGTGGAGCGCAGCGTTTGTTGTCATCTATTGTCGGAACGACCTAATTGGTTTCATTTATTTATTTATTAATTTATTTATTTTCAACCAATTAGTGTACGGACCATATTTAGCTACGATCAAAGAGGAGACGAAATGATAATGGCTATATTATTAAATGCCTTCGCTAGTTTAGCTCACTGGTGTCAATTAGTTGCTTATTGTTATTGATGATGTGTTGATGAATGGTTATTAAAAAAATTTTTATCATGCTGTCACAACTCTGCAATTTTCGCACGTCTCATTACCAAAATAAATTATGTACATGCTATTTATATTCGTAAATTTGTACAGGTGTGAGTTAAAGTACATGTCAACATTGTATATGATATTCAAGATTTGCACGTATAAAATGAGTTGCACGCAGAGGTAAAAAACTTGCATCATATTTACTCTAAATAAAAACAATCTGATTTATTTCTGCAAGAAAGAGCGGAGCATTTGATGCAGGAAAAGGAGCCAAGGACTCACGCCTTTAAACAACCAAACGTCTTCCTTACAAGGAGCGATTCCTGCGGTGCGACGAGCGGGCGCTCAGCTTTCCTATCGCCGCTGCCTCGCTGCACCACTTAATTGAGTTTCAAACGGTGCAGTGAGTACCCACTGGCCAGCCACTACAGTGAAAAGTTAACACTTATACCTGTATAAGAATATTAAAACCATACGTAATTCCGATCATCATTTCCGATGTCTGGCTGCAAGCAATAGATGTATAGATGTATGTAGATGCAATGCAATATGTATGTAGATGTATAGATGTTGCAGCAATAGATGTATGTAGATGTATATAGTGGCAGTGCTGCAAGTAGTGAGCTCAATAGCAACACAGACGTTCATGTTATAGGTTAAGACGTGGCATTCTTCCGTCGAACAGAACCAGATGAAACGCTTATGAGGCAAATCATATTATTTATCCTTATGT